CTAACTTGTTCTTATAGTCTCTAGTGATAAGGATTCCTCAACCTCCCTTGCAAACCTGTTGCAGAGCTTAACTACCTTTATAGTTAGAAAGCTTTTCCTAATATCTAACCTAGATCTCCCTTGCCACAGATCAAGCACATTACTACTTGTCATACCTTCAGGGGACATGGAAAACAATTGTTCAGAGTCCTCTTTATAACAGACCCTAACATATTTCCTCCTGTGGGAATTCTGCACTACTGCGCACGCCCAGAATTCATGTGCCAAGCAAAAAAAAAATTTCGCAGGAAGTAGTTTCTGCTGGAAAGTTGCTGCAGTTACACTTTTTGCTCATGAGGGCCGCTGTAGCGCTAGAACAGAGCAGTCACTCCTGGGCCAGCCCCAACTGCCGACAGGGAAGAGGAGACAGTGCCCTGCCGGTGGGGTCTGGTCAAGAGACGGGGATATGGGGGGGACAGACAGTGTAAGGCACATGGGGCTGCTGGGGAGTCCCATTCTTAAGGGCTATTGGGGGAGAACAGACTGGGACAGGGACAGAATGGGAGTGGAGGCGCAGGGCCACATGGGAACAGGGGGTGCAGCGCCACATGGGGATGGGGGGAGGGAGCTGGCTGAGCAGGGGTGCAGGGACACATGGGGGAAGGGCAGTAGCTGAGTGGGTGCACAGGGACACATGGGGAGTGGCGTTGGGATGGGAGAGGGGGTGCAGGGACACATAGGGACAGGGGCAGATGTGCCTAATTGAATGGGAGAGGCTAGGGATCAGCCAGTATCTGCATGAGGGAGGCTCCCTAACAATCCTTCCTCACCCACCTTCCATATTTTTCCCACCCACACCCAACAACTCTCCAAGTTCACACCCAGGCTCCTTCCCAGCAATTACTTCCCTCTCCTTCAGCTCCTCTGTTACCCCGGACTCCTCCAAGCCTTTGCACTGGTTCTGAGTGGTGTGGGAAATATGGTTCTATATTGTAGTTTAAATGAATTATTACTCAGAGTTCTATATTATGCCTAGTAAGGAATCTATTTGTCAAAAAACATTTCCTGAATCTTTTTCATTGTCTGCATTGTTACAGACATACTTATTGACAGGTATTTTGAAATAAATTACCAAAATAATTGAAACTGGTGTGATTATATTGTACTATTTTGACAAATAAAATATGCAGAATTTTAAAATATTGTGCACAGAAGTTTTAATTTTTTGGTGCAGAATTCCCCCAGGAGTAACATATTTCAAGACTTATCAGGTCCTCCGCCCCTGAGTATTTTTTCCCCTCAAAGGTCAGATTGTCAAAATCTTTTTTGTTGCTCTCCTTTGGACTTTCTCCAATTTGTCCATATCTTTCCTAAAGTGAGGCACCCAGACTTGTACACAGTACTCCAGCTGAGGCTTCACCAGTGATGAGTAAAGAGGGATAATTACTCTTGTGGTAATAAATTACACTCCTGTTAATAAACCCTCAGAATATTAGTCTTTTTCACAACTGTATCACATTGTTGACTCAACTACCTGAAGGGGGGTTCCAAAGAGGATGGAGCTCGGCTGTTCTCAGTGGTGGCAGATGATAGAACAAGGAGCAATGGTCTCAAGTTGCAGTGGGGGAGGTCCAGGTTGGATATCAGGAAAAACTATTTCACTAGGAGGGTGGTGAAACACTGGAATGCGTTACCTAGGGAGGTGGTGGAATCTCCTTCCTTGGAGGTTTTTAAGGCCCGGCTTGACAAAGCCCTGGCTGGGATGATTTAGCTGGGAATTGGTCCTGCTTTGAGCAGGGGGTTGGACTAGATGACCTCTTGAGATCCCTTCCAACTCTGATATTCTATGATTCTATGTTCCACTATAACTCCTCCCCCGCCCCCCGATCATTTGCAGCAGGATTACTGCCTACCCAGTTATTTCCCATTTTGTAGTTATGCATTTGATTTCTCCTTCTCAAGTGTATGGTTGATGTACACACTGTTTGGAAATTGACGTAGGTGCCAAACTTGAAATACTGCTATG